TTTCTACATAAATGATCTCCTCGAAGATATGTGTTACTCTTGTTGTATAACGGGCATGTGAACAAATTCTACTTTACATTTCCCCCGGTGAGAGAGACAAGCGAGACAAGAGAGACAAGGTTGTTTGTGTATAGCCTCATGGCCAAAAGCATTGGCAATAAAATGATTTGCGCCCGACAGATGAGATTTTGCGTTGTTTCACAGTAAAATTTGTAAACATTTTTTTGAGAAACAAGGCAAGTTTTTTTATATCTCTGTTGTTTGACGACAATAATTAATGTAATTTCTCATAGATAGGTCTAGCACCATACCCGTGATCGTGAGTTTAACCGAAGTGGTAAACGTCTGAGACCTGCATCACTTCGGGCTTTCCTCCCACATTAAGCTGACACCCAACTCACTCACTCACTCATATAGGGTACTGCTGCAGGTAATCTCCCACGCTCACCTAGTACAGCTTCAATGCTTGTTTTCTTTTCAATTCACAGTATCTGTTTGCAAAAGAACCCTCAGCTTAAATGGTCTCAATCTTCCCAGTATACTGGTACACGCACGCACGCGCGCGCTCTGGCGCGCCGTGGTCTTGTGGATGGAGCGCCTGCAAAGAGAGCGGAAGGTCGGTGGCTCGATCACCGGCCGCGTCATACCAAAATACGGTAAAAGATGGTACTTGTTGTTACCTTGCCTGGCGCTCGGCATTAAGGAGCTAAAATAAGGACTGATCAGCTCGGAATGTAATTTTTCAATGAAAACATGTAATTCAAAATGAGATTTTTAACCATTATTAAAGTCAAGAGCTATATATAACTCCTTTGTTTTTTATCAATGTTTTTGCTATTCACAGGACTGATAGTTACAGTTACAGTGGTGTATATACATGACCAGAAGGCACTGGACCCTGGTTGTATCAGTTTATAGGTACATGAAATATACCACTCGGAGGTTCTGTACATAGCTTGATATGCAAGAATACCACGCTTTGATTGTATCTCACGTGGGTCTCCTTAGACGTGCTATGTTTATATAGTCTTCACACGTTCACCTATAAGTTGTGGTTTCCTAAGCAATGCAAATATGAAAATATGAAAAAAGAAAATATCCTAAATATGTAACAGTATAGCAGATGTGGTAAGTGTATGACATGATATTATGAATTTTTCACAGAGACAGGCCATGATACCTATGTTTTATGGCCTTACTCGGCTCTAGATACTTCATAGAAGCAGATTAAATTCATCAGTAATTGATGTTTAATGTCATGAATATAACAATTCTGTTTACTGATAAGTTCATTTCATCCTTCCAAAGTATCAATTACAATATTAAACGTGTGTTAAAGGTCAGAGACATAATTTGTTACTATGTGGTAACAGTTTCCCTGTCCAGATGTTATCTAGATACTCTTAGTATTCATGATCTCTTAGGCAATGTAGCATTAACGTTTGGTGGCCTCTGAAAAAGGGCAAGGACGCCAGAGGTAATTTTCCATTCATTTAAGATAGAGGTCATAACTAAAGTACTGTCGGAAATGCTAGAAAACTGCTTTTTGTTAAAAAAAAGATATATTTTTTCACAGACTGTTGTTATTGAAATATCGAGTAACTACCGATCGACCTACCTGAGCTTTGAAGTATTTCAGTAACAAGGAGTCATATCGACAAGTTTACAGGAGACAAATTCGAACGAAAACAGGAAGTTTACATTTATTATGTCCAATGATGGCAGTCTGAAACGGACTATAGAAATATGCGCACGTGACTCCGTTATAATAATGATAATAATGTAGTCTTCATAAAACATCTAGTCCACACACAAAAATCATTTTGAGAAAATTCTAGATTTGCATCTTCTAAAATGACAAAGTGACGCTGCGTTTGTTTTGTTAACATAGTTCCCATGATGCATGTTACATAACACTTGCATAGCCATAACCATGGTATACGATATGGAGTCTGTATTGGGAAATGTATACAAGTTCTTTACACTTTAGAGAGATAGAGGGAAAACATTTATTAATTTAGATAGGGTGAATTACCGAACTGCCCAAGCTATGGTGTTTTCAATTCATACCATCAAGTCTACAGTATGATAAATAAAACAAAACAGGTATAGGGATGGTCTCAAAAACAAAACTGGGGCGTAAACGTATATTACAGGATGATTAGGCGTATAGTGTACAAGCTTTATGAGCAGAAGGTATTCCTGACTTGTAGTAGAATTTGGGAGGAATTAAAGATACAATACAGGACCATACAGGAATATATGACATTGTCGATTTCAGACCATATGAGACGAAAGTTCAACCCATGGAGATTATTCGGCTGAATAAGAACCCTGTAAAGTACAGGACATATGTGCTGGCGGCACAACACGGTCACGTTTTCTTACGTACGGCAGTCAGACATTGTGAGCTCAATCCTGTTGTGCCCATCTTGGCTAAGTGTAAAGGGTTCGTGTCAAGACATAACACAACATTCAAAAGTACAGATTCATATACGTCATCGGCGGAGATAAATGCTACCTCAAGAAATCATCTGAAGAATACCAAATACTTCTGGATTCCAAAAAACGCAACCTTCCAATACTCATCCCGTCTCATAGCTCTTAACTATTCCATCATGTTTCCAAGCAAATATTATGCAGTACATATCCTTAATTGCTATCCGATCAACGCACATGTCAATTAAGTACAATAACAGCAATGTTTTGAGACCACCCCCAACTCGGTGACATTCGGACCTGTGAGAATGCACGTGGCGGTGTGAGGTCAACACTTCGGGACAGGTGTTAGGGAATTACCTCAGGTTATAGGCCATTTCATACATGCATGACAACACACGAATATTTTCTAAGTTGATCATCATTTTACCTGTAAAAGTACATTTTAAGGGTAATCACAGTGTCAGTTAGGACAGGCTAGATTAGGGCGATTTGCGTTATTTTGATATATGCTCTTTTTATAGTCCTATGACTCGTATTTATGAAATGAAGCCGGAAAACCAGTTTTCTAGCATTTCCGACAGTACTTAAGCCCAATATTTGTTATATGTCATGGCTGTGACATAAGTGAACGCCGCTTTGAAGGTCATTCACTCAAGCAGTTTTCTCGAATGTGATTGTTGAAGGTCAAGGTAACTCTATATGAAGTGGACGTCCCCATGAGATGGTCTCCACAATGTCCAGACAATGGACGGTTGGTTGGTTTCGGGGTAGCATGCATCCCTAGCACCCTACTGTTCGTCGTAAAAGGGGACAAAATTGGGAAACCTGTTGGCCGTGGGTTGCGTCCTTGTGGAAGTGGGGAGTCAGGTGGTTGTGGGCACAAGTTCCAGGAACTGTGTTGCTGTGCCCAATACACCTCGCTGACCGTTACTTCATCTTCACCGTTACTTGAATTTTTAGATTTAACAAACTGTATCATTGTCTAGAGTCTAATGCCAAGAAAGTTGTGGCTCATGGGCCAATCTGGTACGTTACACTACTGGAGTATATCTATCCTGTAACTTCTTGGTGTTGCACTGAATATAACATTGCCTGATATACCTCATCTCATCTTATAAAGTACCCTTGAGTGCAATTTACCTTCAGTGAAGTAGAGCTGAGGGCCTCATGATAGACCTAGCACTCATTTGAATATGGTGATAGCACTCATTTGAATTGCTGTTGTACGCTTCGTTATTTTGTTCACAAACTGTTTGCCGTGCGTGCGTGCGTGCGTGCGTGCGTGCGTGCGTATGTGTTTGACTTTCTGTTCAGTTGTTAAAACTTGATTGCTTTTCAGAAAGTAATCCTATGTATTGCAAATGAATAGTTTGCTTTGATGAACATTTGCATCTTCTTTTTAAAATGAAAATCGTTCAGCAGATGGTAGCCTCTATTAAGGCACTAGATGAACAAGAAAATTAACTGATTTCTCCAAAGATGTTTTAATCAACAAAAGCATACAAAGACACTTCCAAATTCAATGATCGATTGCAACCGAGAAGTATAGCTTAAATATTTATCCTTATTTTTCTACTGGCGATTTAATAACTACACATGCTTTATACTTTAATTGTTTTATAGCTAAATATAACGAGTGTTTCATTGCTTACCTTAGTGTTAATAATCACATTATTATTGAGGTTTCTCTTATTCAGCATTTGTAATGTTCCATTTATTAATGTAAGTTGAACACGTGAAGAGTTGAAGTTTTAAATGTAATACGGTATGGTCAACAAAATACTTTCTGAAGAGATGTGAGAGTGTATGTCTATATATCATATACTTTTTTGATTTACTTTAAAATACACTTAATCTTGTTATCATTCGCTTTGTAGTTTACGGGCAGTCTAGAGTGAATGGAATTGAACACTGCAGTGAACAACATATGAAATTACCTTGAATTTAGGCTACACGCGAACTGGTGCATGTAAATATAACCATATTTTGTTAGCAAGCCCTCCAGTTTTAGTAGAGTTGGCACTGATTATGGCAGTAATGTTGGCCCTTCTCAATACTATTGGCGGAAAGAGACAGCAGTTACTTTCCTAAAATATTTGAGCGACGTTTTAGTTAACAAAACAACATTAGTATTTGTCTTGTTTTGAATATTGACTTTGACCTTTGAACTAAGGCAACACTGTGTATTTATTGCACTTCTTCATGTCGTGTTTAGGCAGCTCTGGTAATATGCACAGGTAAATTCAATTGCACTTCTACCGTATTCCACCCCTGTCTTTATCTACTTTTTAAGATACCTTTCTTACATAAACTGACATGTAAATAGCTCCAAAGATGTTGAAAGTTTAGCCTTATCCACTTGAGTGCATCATCGCTGTATGCTGGGGGAGTGTGGCCAGTCATCCAGTTTGGGATTCCAGTCCTCATAGGAAAGGTTTGTAAGGGGTCATGTGATTATGCACTCCAGTATGTGTTGTCGTAGGTTGAGTTAGTCCCTGATTCTCATCATCCTCATCTGAAGACATACTGAGGTCACTGTTTGTCTCTTGATCTTTCAGGCCTTCAAATGTACTTGTATAGCTTGGAGGCAGACTTGCAGCTGACGCCTCACTTCCAGACATCCTCGCCGAAGACGTTTCACGTGGTTCAGACTTAGATTGAACACGTAATGTCGATGTTTCAATTGGTGCCGCAACATTTTCAGGGCTTGGTGATGGTCTTCTTTGAGGTGATAATGATTCTTCATAACTTGGAAGCTTCGTTGCAGGTATGAATACAATCTGTGAACCATCTGGCATATGCTGATACACAACCTGATCGGGCATGTGCCCAAATATTGACTGAGGCAGCGGGGGTAGAAGTACGTTCCGAACCGGGAAGTCACGTCGTTGATGATCTGACGTGGATGTATTAGTAACCTGGTTGGGTGGCGACGACCGGGACATGTTCCGGGCAATCTGTCTGTAGTGTTTCCCAGCCTGGCGCCGCCTGTGAAGCCACCGCAGTAGACCCGTGATGACCACGGCACAGGAGACTATGGCGCCGATAGCTGTCACGAAATATACACCAGTGTGGCTGTCCTCACCAGAACCAGTCGTGGAAGCGATGCTATTCAGGTTAAATTTCTTTTCGGAACATAAAGAACTGCGATCTGAAACCACCAATGACACCTTGGTTAGTAAAGGCTAATCAACAATTGTTCACAGTAATAAAGACGACATAACTGCAAGTATAACTCGATACACTTATGAATGCTCAGTAGTAAATCATAGTTTTCACACACGTCCTTGTTTTGGGCCAATATTTGTATAGACGTTCTGGGCCAAGTAGCCACCAGGTAACTTTTGGTGACTGCCTGAAACTGCTGCACATAACCTGTCACTCGTATGTATCATAACAAATATTTATTGTCTTAACAGTATAGAAGACTATGACTGTAGCTACAGTATACGAAATCTTGTATTAAGCAACAGGGTGTGATGGGCACGGCAACTCAAATGGACGGTAGAAACAGTACACTGATCAAAGCGTATCGCACATACAGATCCGTGCGGGCAAAAAGTTATTTAGGCTGCTCAAAGTCAGTCAAGGCAGTACCTCAAGAGGGAAACAACTCTTATCAATACGCACCAACCCTGGGAGTGGAAGTCATATGACTTGTACTCATTCCCAGATGACGAATACTAACAGTCAAACATGTAATTATTTAAAACTGAAATTCCACTGAGTGTATCAGCAATACCTACTTGCATGTGGGAATCCTTCAACCAAGCAACTGATACCATAGATGCTGTTCCCACAATTAGCCTTGCATGTGTAAACACCTTTGACTTTGTCACTAAAGGACAAAATCTCAAGATGGGATTCATACTTGATGAGCTCTGTGGTCACTCGGTAGGTAGTGTGATCGTGTGCCGGGTTCGTCTCCAGGTGACGGTCAGCCTCGTGCGACCACCATATGTTGGAACACGGTTCCTGCCTGACTTCATGATAACTAACGGCACAATGCAGGATTGCTTCCCAGTGATCTTGTACTTCAAAGTCATCTTCGTATACTTGCATCAGGACACCATTTTCTAAATAGACAAATCAGCGTTCGCTACATATAACACATCACTTAATTTGTTTTCGAATTTACTTTATGTAGAACGAGTCAACACGTCATGCAGGGAGGTGCAGTGCACATGATGATTGATCAATCTCGAACATTAACGCTGATCCCACAAGATACCTAAAACGTTAGCACTGATTACTAATTACTTCACACAAAAAGAATTTTAATAATATTGTTGGATTGTTTTACAAAAGTTTCATACTCATATTGAAACATAGAAACTGAAATTGATTATTTAATTACATGTGTTATAACCTATCCTTGACGAGTGGTTTTGTAACTACTATTTCCTTTGCATCATATGCTATAACTGACTGGGGAAACAGGAGTTATTGTGCAAAATTGAAAAAAAAGGATCCATTTAGTTTCGGGGTTATGTAACATAAAAGGGTCCTTGGCGTTTTCCTGGTGTATATATCCATTATATTTTTTGAATATACCGCATCAAGTCACGTGATAATAAGGAAGGTCCATGGATATGTTGCTGTCATTGACGCCGAGCCCTTACTGTAATCATATACCTGATGTATTAGTGCAGGTAAACCTAGATTTCCACATCTTGCCATGTCGGTATTATATCTGAGAAATAAACTGAAATCAAATCACAACAGGAATGGTAAAACAACATGCATTCATTATGAATCTTTGTGAACAAATGTATGAACAAATCTACACATGTACAATTTTTAATAACAGCGTCGATGGCAACGTGTCATGGACAACGATGTTTCCGTAACAACGTGAGGGATAAACAAGATTTAGTTTTTTCTTTGATCCCTGTATTTAACACGGGATTGATTTTAACGGGCGTCTACCGTCACCCCATGAGCAGCCTGCAGAGTGGCTATAAACGACGATGTCAGTAACATCAAGCAGCCTATAGGCCTCTATAGAAAATACGATACATAATGTGTCCTTATGTAAGTAACATCAAGCAGCCTATATGCCTCTATAGAAAATACTATACATAATGTGTCCTTATGTCAGTAACATCAAGCAGCCTATATGCCTCTATAGAAAATACTATACATAATGTGTCCTTATGTCAGTAACATCAAGCAGCCTATATGCCTCTATAGAAAATACGCTACATAATGTGTCCTTATGTCAGTAACATCAAGCAGCCTATAGGCCTCTGAGAAAATACTATACATAATGTGTCCTTATGTCAGTAACATCAAGAGGCCTATAGGCCTCTATAGAAAATACGCTTCATAATGTGTCCTTATGTCAGTAACATCAAGCAGCCCATAGGCCTGTATAGAAAATACGCTACATTATGTGTCCTTATGTCAGTAACATCAAGTAGCCTATAGGCCTCTATAGAAAATACGCTACATAATGTGTCCTTATGTCAGTAACATCAAGCAGCCTATAGGCCTCTATAGAAAATACGCTACATAATGTGTCCTTATGTCAGTAACATCAAGCAGCCTATAGGCCTCTATAGAAAATACTATACATAATGTGTCCTTATGTCAGTAACACTAAGCAGCCTATAGGCCTCTATAAAAAATACGCTACATAATGTGTCCTTATGTCAGTAACATCAAGCAGCCTATAGGCCTCTATAGAAAATACGCTACATAATGTGTCCTTATGTCAGTAACATCAAGCAGCCTATAGGCCTCTATAGAAAATACTATACATAATGTGTCCTTATGTCAGTAACATCAAGCAGCCTATAGGCCTCTATAGAAAATACGCTACATAATGTGTCCTTATGTCAGTAACATCAAGCAGCCTACTGGCCTTATAAGAAAATACGCTACACAATGTGTCCTTATGTCAGTAACATCAAGCAGCCTATAGGCCTCTTAGAAAATACGATACATAATGTGTCCTTATGTCAGTAACATCAAGAAGCCTATAGGCCTCTACAGAAAATACGCTTCATAACGTGTCCTTATGTCAGTAACATCAAGCAGCCTATAGGCCTCTATAGAAAATACGCTTCATAACGTGTCCTTATGTCAGTAACATCAAGCAGCCTATAGGCCTCTATAGAAAAAACGCTTCATAACGTGTCCTTATGTCAGTAACATCAAGCAGCCTATAGGCCTCTATAAGAAATACGCTACATAATGTGTCCTTATGTCAGTAACATCAAGCAGCCTATAGGCCTCTACAGAAAATACGCTTCATAACGTGTCCTTATGTCAGTAACATCAAGCAGCCTATAGGCCTCTATAGAAAATACGCTTCATAACGTGTCCTTATGTCAGTAACATCAAGCAGCCTATAGGCCTCTATAGAAAAAACGCTTCATAACGTGTCCTTATGTCAGTAACATCAAGCAGCCTATAGGCCTCTATAAGAAATACGCTACATAATGTGTCCTTATGTCAGTAACATCAAGCAGCCTATAGGCCTGTATAGAAAATACGCTACATTATGTGTCCTTATGTCAGTAACATCAAGCAGCCTATATGCCTCTATAGAAAATACGATACATAATGTGCCCTTATGTCAGTAACATCAAGCAGCCTACTGGCCTCTATAGAAAATACGCTACATAATGTGTCCTTATGTCAGTAACATCAAGCAGCCTATTGGTTTCCATAGAAAATACGCTACACAATGTGTCCAAGCCGCCTACTGGCATTTACAGAAGATACGCTACATAATGTGTCCTAATGTCAGTAACATCAAGCAGCCTATAGGCCTCTATAGAAAGTACGCTACATAGTGTGTCCTTATGTAAGTAACAACACGTAGGCTACTTGCCTCCATAGAAAATACGCTACATAATGCGCGCTTATGCAAGTAACATCAAGTAGCCTACTGGCCTCCATAAAAAATACGCTACACAATGTGTCCTTATGCAAGTAATATCAACCAGTCTACTGGCCTCCATAGAAATTACACTACATAATGTGCCCTTATGTAAGTAACATCAAGCAGCCTACTGGCCTCCATAGACAATACGCTACACAATGTGTCCTTATGTAAGGAATAACGCAGCCTATTGGCATCTATAGAACATACGATACATAATGTGTCCTTATGTCAGTAACATCAAGCAACCTACTGGCCTCTATACAAAGTACGCTACACAACGTGTTCTTATGTAAGTTACATCAAGCAGCCTACTGGCCCCCATAAATAAATACGCTACACAATGTGTCCTCATGCAAGTAATATCAACCAGTCTACTAGCCTCCATAGAAATTACACTACATAATGTGCCCTTATGTAAGTAACATCAAGCAGCCTACTGGCCTCCATAGACAATACGCTACACAATGTGTCCTTATGTAAGGAATAACGCAGCCTATTGGCCTCTATAGAAAATACGATACATAATGTGTCCTTATGTCAGTAACATCAAGCAGCCTACTTGCCTCTATACAAAGTACGCTACATTATGTGTCCTTATGTAAGTAACAACACGTAGCCTACTTGCCTCCATAGAAAATACGCTACATAATGTGCCCTTTTGCTAGTAAGATCAAGCAGCCTACTGGCCTCCATAGAAAGTACTCTACACAATGTGTTCTTATGCAAGTAATATCAAGGAGCCTACTGGCCTCCATAGAAAATACGCTACACAACGTGTTCTTATGTAAGTAACAACACGCAGCCTACTGGCTTCTATAGAAATTATGCTACATAATGCGCCATTATGGAAGTAACATCAAGCAGCCTACTGG